TCCCTTTAAAGGGTACATGACAGTGAAGTGCTGGGATCTGCTCTGCACGCTAATGTTGTCTTGCACGTGTTATCAGTGTAGACCTTTACTATGATTAATACAATACAGTGTACTGATTGTGCGAAAACATCAACCAAAAGTGCCCGGCCTATAGCTAATCACAGTAACGTTACAGTAAGGGATGTGCCTTAAGTAGTATACTACGGCATGATAACACTATAAAAGTTGGTTTCTGTTACGCTCTGTCCCATGTACATGCGAGTCACGGGTCCTACACTCATAGAATTTTGATGGGAGTGATAGAATTTCTGAAAATATTAAAATTTTGCATAAAGGCTGAAAAAAATTATAGATTGATTACTGCAAATAGCATGAACATGCCGCAGTCCACACATTCCATTTTCACAATAGTTGTATATACACCAATAGGTCATCTTTACATTACAACGGCTGTTATTGCACGTTTAACAATACCAAACAAAACCAAACGATGACCACTGTGTCTGACATGTTCGACACCAAGTCACTGACAGCACAATGGCTAAAGGTGAAGTGAATAGATTAGTATATAATTGGAGACCCTCGACACCCCAGGGGTTATAGCTTTTTAAATCATTATTTCCTAACAAAACCGAAAGTTCCAGACAAGTTTAATCCTTTCATTTACATCAAATGGATCTCGAGGTCGCAAAATGGTATGTTGAATTTTGGTGTCGCTCCTTCGTAATCTTCAAAGGGTCTCCTGAAATCCAGTCTAGACCAATCAAAATACTTCGCCTGTACCTTCAACTTTACCATGAGATATTCAAAGCAGAAGGGTGCAGAGAATGACAGTGAACATAACCCTAGGATTATCGAGGATCACAGTGTAAAGAAGTACAACCAGTGTTAGTGCTCGTCAGTTACGGATAACAGTACTAAAGAGATTATAACAAATGACATAATCAATTTACTCATCTGTAATTAAAGCGTAAAATAACTGGGGCTGAACGTAAAAAACTGGGGCTGAACGTAAAAAAGTGGGGCTGAAGCGTTCTCGTGTTGACAAATTGTGAATAAGGGGAAGCAACTTTGATACAAAGCGTAACATGTAAATTTTAAAAATTAACCAACATCACATTGGGCTACTCGTCGTATTGATCCCGTCAGTAGAATCTAAATAGGTTTAAGACACGAAATTAAATCAATATATGTATCATAAGTGACAGCTTCAACAAGATCGCTACTTTAGTTTTACCCTCGTTAACACTACCTGTCTGATCGTGGTAATACTTTATTTACGTTTGTTGACATGGCCTAATTACACTGTTACAGCTTCCACCCACCTGTAACAAACACTCACCTGTCGCAGTTGTCCAGCACATATGTCAATGTGTAAGTCTTTAACATTTTGTTGGTAATCATTAGCTCTATTTCCCGGCATTACGATTACTACATTATTTTGGCCATGTTTATATACGGGTAGGTAGTGTAAACATAATTGCTATTTATAAACAGGACTGTTTCAAATTTAGAGTGATCTCCCTTACACTTTGTTCTTAAAGACTGTCCTTGGTGTTCGTTATTCGTCAGTTAATCATTGAACGTCAGACATATATTTACATTTTGGATATGATTTTAACACCAAGCATATAATTACACAACCAAATAATTAAATATTAAAACGTACAGAACGGGATCGTTTAAACTTGTATTTATATAACGCGGCTTACATTGTACGAAACAGGGAAATGTGTAGTGAGGAAATAGTTTAACTGATGAGAGTAAATGGGTACAGAGATGAGGCAGAGAGGGACCGTCTACACCTAACGGTCCGAAGCAGCAAGGGAACCGATTGTGGATAGAGACGAAGAGAAAATTTCGATGCATATGTGACCTTTTGAAACCTGTCAAAATTTCTTAATAAACAGTCCCTAATGCTAACCTTTCCCAACCTCTGGGCTAGTGTTATCACACCCGCTCTTTATCGAAGAACCGCGGAGGAATCGTTAACGTGCTGGTTGGACATTTCCACACGGGACACCATTGAAAACCCAATCCGACGAGGTGTGTGGTAGTGGTTATTTATTACCAAGGTCCTGATATATTTCTGATGTCTGCATGAGCGATTTTTTCCATATCTGTTTGCCACTCTCTAAACTGTTCACTTTATTAATGTTCATACTGTAAACCCACACTGTTCCTGGCATCTCGTGACAGTTCACATTCCTACATTTATGTATTTATAATTTATTAGGAGTATAGGACGGATCAACAGGAATGAATAGGGATATAAAATGGACGTGGGTGGGGGCATTTGTGTTTATTGTTTCTATAACCTGTATAATATTGTGTTTGTGCTTGTTGTGAAATTTTGTTGGTAGCTAATTTAGGCGTTACGCTTCGGCAGAGAGCATTCCGTTCGGCATCCTGGGGGCTCAGCTGCCTTCGCTGTTTGTGTAAATTTTATTTAACAAATGTACATGTGGGGGATGGGGGCACAATGAAGACACCCTAAAACTCCGGAGGTTTCAGTATGCACCAATTAATGATAGGATCAGTAATAATCCTCCCTGGTACAGTCTTCCTGGGCATCCTGGGGAAAGAAAGACGATTGGGCAGGATTCAGATAATCAACACTCAACCAAACGTGGAGCCCTTTCGTGATCCTTTCAGCACTCTAGGTATGATTCCGAGTCTCCAATCTGTTACCCTTACCTGTATATATTGTGTTTAACAGACGTTAAGGTAGAGTTGGGCACAGAGGATGACACATCAGACCTCCTAATGTGAAAGAATGCATAACCACGCAAGAATATATGAAATTAAAGGAAGTGTTATCCTAAAATGCGACACCAATCAGGAAAGAAAGGAAGTGGCTTTTTAAAATGCCGTTGTTATACCTCACAATAATGTAAAAACCAGAAAAAAGATCTTTTTCTTTCTTACACTGTTCTTGGCCAACCAAATTAGTTAAATTTCCTTACCCTTTGTTTACATAATTGACCAGATTAAGGATACTTACTCCTAACATAAAAGTGCACAATTCATCCTGTACTTAAAAACAGCCGAATCCATCACCTCCCTCTAAACATTGTACTAGTAAAGCTTGCTGAAGCGGTTCCGCACGACCTGCCATATCCTCCTCGACTCCTAACGTGTATTTGAGGACTATATTTAGCTAATGTGTATTTGAGGACTGTATTTAGCTAACGTGTATTTGAGGACTGTATATTTTGCTAACGTGTATTTGAGGACTGTATATCTAGCTAACGTGTATTTGATGACTGTTAATTTGGCTAACGTGTATTTGAGGACTGTATTTAGCTAACGTGTATTTGAGGACTGTATATCTAGCTAACGTGTATTTGATGACTGTTAATTTGGCTAACGTGTATTTGAGGACTGTATGTTTAGCTATCGTGTATTTGAGGACAGTATATCTAGCTAACGTGTATTTGAGGACTGGATATTTAGCTAATGTGTACTTGAGGACTGTATATCTAGCTAACGTGTATTTGAGGACAGTATTTAACTAATGTGTATTTGAGGACTGTATATTTAGATAACGTGTATTTGAGGACTGTATATCTAGCTAACGTGTATTTGAGGACTATATTAAGCTAATGTGTACTTGAGGACTGTATATATAGCTAACGTGTATTTGAGGACTATATTAAGCTAATGTGTATTTGAGGACTGTATATCTAGCTAACGTGTATTTGAGGACAGTATTTAACTAACGTGTATTTGAGGACTGTATATTTAGATAACGTGTATTTGAGGACTGTATATCTAGCTAACGTGTATTTGAGGACTATATTAAGCTAATGTGTACTTGAGGACTGTATATCTAGCTAACGTGTATTTAAGGACTGTATATTTAGTTAACATATATTTGAGGACTGTATATCTAGCTAACGTGTATTTAAGGACTGTATATTTAGTTAACATATATTTGAGGACTGTATATTTAGCTTACGTGTATTTGATGACTATATTTTAGCTGACGTGTAATTGAGGACTGTATATTTACTTAACGTGTATTTGAGGACTGTATATTTACTTAACGTGTATTTGAGGACTGTATATTTACTTAACGTGTATTTGAGGACTGTATATTTAGCTAACGTGTATTTGAGGACTGTATATCTAGCTAACGTGTATTTGAGGACTGTATTTCGCTAACGTGTATTTGAGGACTGTATATTTACTTAACGTGTATTTGAGGACTGTATATTTAGCTAATGTGTATTTGAGGACTGTATATCTAGCTAACGTGCATTTGAGGACAGTATATTTAGCTAATGTGTATTTGAGGACTGTATGTGTAGCTAGTGAAGGCGCGTTTTCATTGGCTTCCTTTTGCAATATAAAAACTTATATGTTGCATTACCTATGGTTTATATATAGAACGTTGGAAATCGCCTGCAACAAGTTGTACGAGTTTAATGGCCTGTAATGGTTTTGAGAAAACATTAGCTATGGCGAGGTATGTGTACGTGTATACATACACTGGTAAAATGATTTTAAAAGCGATGTGACGTATGTAATCCTGCTTGAGAATACCCCAGAAATGTATGCCCGACACATAAATGAAGTTACATGCAACAGCGTTGAGATAACTGAACGCAAGTGTTTATAAGCGATCAATATCAGTTATGTTATCTCATAGAGCATCATTTGAACAATAAAACCGGTATTCTGTTTGAATTAGAATAACCCATGCAAGATTATTCTCCCACAATATTCCTATACATTTGTAGGTATTTATGTCTCCAATATCATCGTTTTACTTGAACATCTATTCCAAAATGTCCAGTCATTTTTTTCGTAATACTCTCATTTATTCTCCTATATCATTATATTGCTTCAGTTAAACAAAACTCCTGAAAAACTTTGGTCTCCGTTTCTCTTGAAATCATGTATCAAATGACATCTACCTTGCGTAACATGTCGTTAAATTATGTGTGGAAAAATCGTTATTTTAAATTATCCGATTCAATGTCAAAACAACGACGTCATCTCCGTTTAAGCCTTTTCGAGATCGATGTTAAGGCGTAGATTTCGCGGAATGATCCATGTTCAGAAAATGAATGACCAAGAGAGTCAATGAGAAATACGAAGAGAAAGACGGCACCAAGGATGAGCAGACCGAAACTGATTCCAGGCACCAAGAAAAAAAACTCCCGTGGACCGATCTGGAAAAGAATATAAGAAAAAGATGGAAATCAATTGATTAAAATCATTACCAGGTGATGATCGATGTATGTTGATATTCGTCAAATCAATCAAACGAACATTACTTATATAAGTAAACATTCAATGTTGGAATTTCTTTTCACACATGCAGCCTTGTATCATAGCAGTTTTATGTCAAATCACTTTGTTCAAACATTGTACTATAAATATTTAGGTTACCTGACGATTTTCCCAGTCCGCTCCAAACCTCCGCCGTCTATAATTCTCTACAAATCTTACCCATCCCTATTAACGAAACAAAAAAAAAGTAAGAATAATGTTATAGAGAGTAGAAATCGTTTTTTTCTAATCCCCATATTACTTTACATATATTGGTGTAAACGTTGAATCTCCACTACGAAGGTTTGACTTCCAATCTTTATATACTGAAAGGATAAAGAAACGCAGGGTAATATTTATTCCGATATTTTGAAAACGCGTTCTCCAAATAAAGTGAAACTTTGCGGATTGAGTAATTAGGTCATATTACACCTTGTCATGTATCGAAAATTTAGTCACGGTACAGTGCGCAGCTCTGGTAAATGGAGGAAGGAAAAAACAAGAATCTCGTGTACCGTGTTGTTCTGGTCTCATACAGCGTTGGTCAAGTCACTCTTCGTTAGTCTTTATACAGACCAACTGCTTCCCTAAAATTAATTGAGAATTTGATTCGTTTTAAGAATGGCACGACTCACAGAAGTTCAGAGGGGTCAGGCCAGTCAGATGCTGATGCAAGGACAGCTGCAAAATCAGGTTGCTAGGCACTTTGGTGTTAATGTTTCCATCATAGAACGTCTTGTAAGACGTCTTCGGGAAACTGGGCGATTGGCCGATCGACCTAGGTCAGGACGTCCGCGCGTAACGTCACAACGTCAGGATCTCTATATCGTCGTCTCTCATGTGCGTATTCGGCGCCTTACTGACGTTGAGAGTGCACTTAATGTTCGTGGAAATCATGGGCGTCCTATAAGTTAAAAAACTGTAAGGAATCGATTACGAGAAGTTGGTGTAAGAGCACGTCGCCCCTACGTAGGTCCACACCTTATCCCTGCTCGACGTCAGTGTCGTATCGCCTGGGTCGCTGCACATGCTCCACGACGGTTTTCACTGAGGCAGTGGAGACAAGTTTTCTTCACGGACGAGCCTCGATTCTGTCTTTATCGATCTGACGGCCGTCAACGTGTCTACCGACGTCGTGGCGAACGTTTTACGGACGCTTGCGTTGTAGAGAGGGAAAGGTTTGGGGGCGGTTCAGTAATGGTGTGGGGAGGAATCTCACACGGTTTAAAATCAAAATTGGTTGTTATTGATGGCAATTTAACAGCAGCTAAGTATAGAGATGAGATCCTCCGACCCCATGTTATCCCTTTCTTACAGCAGCATAATCTAACCCTCCAGCAGGATAATGCTAGGCCCCACGTAGCAAGGATTTGCCAAGTCTTTCTGGCCAACAACAACATTCAACCACTAGATTGGCCGCCATATAGCCCTGATTTGTCCCCGATCGAGCATCTTTGGGACCAGTTGGATAGACAGGTTCGAAAGCGCCAGCCATCCCCTGCTACTCGAGAGCAGTTGACCAGAGCTCTGATTGAAGAGTGGGACAACGTCCCCATAAGACGGATTAACGCTCTCGTGAACTCTATGACCAGAAGGATAAGGGCCGTGACCACAGCAAACGGCGGACACACAAGATATTGATGACTCAGTTCAATTTCAAAATCCTATGGGTCCATTCAATCTAATCGTTAGTACCTCTAAACCAATTGTCAGATGCAAAATACAGACTTTGGAAATTTTTAAGCTTTAATTTATCTGTAAGTATACAAAATTTCGTTTTAAATGAAGCCCGATATCATACTTAATTTCTGGTTTAAAGTTCACCCTGCGTTTTTTTTATCCTTTTAGTATATTCACATTTTCCGACCCACTTATTTCCTATACTCAGGGGGATTAAGCAGAGCAAAAAGAGGGGCTTTCTCAGGAATTCACAGGCACTTGGAGATCGCCGTGACAAAAATAACCTCAAAAATGTTTGTGCACAATGTGTATTTGCTTTTTATTTTTGTATCATTTATCAATATAATAATTACTTTTTAAGAATAAACTGAGAAAAATATTGTCAGGAAAGTCACAATTAAGCTAAAAAAAATTACCAAAACGTTATAATATGGCGCACAGTTGACATCACTGACCTCATAGCTACAATGTTTTGATATGATAAAACACCGTACGATGTGACAGTTACTAGTTAAGTAATCATGTTCATATGAAGGTATGTATCATATTTTCTCTGAATCTTAAACTTCATACGTGGTCACCACCCACCTAATGAACTTTTTTTCAATCTTCACACCAGAATAGGCATCACTCTCAGATGCCTAGTCACGTTTTGTGTAACCTATTGGACGATAGAGTGTCCAGCTTTACCAGGAAAATACTTTCCTAAAAATATTGCAATGTCAAGTTTTATTTCAAAGCTACATCAACAAAACGAAGAGCGAGTCAAAATGTGGGAATGTTGTAACACAGCGGGTTTGATTCAATATTGCACGTGCTATGTATAAAACATAATGGGATCCGAAGGTTAAATACAATTTCCTATGGTATATGTTATTTTGTCAGTCTGATAAATCCGATCGGAGAAGAAGTTCCTTCATTAGTTGTGTAATAAGGTATATTCGGAACTCAGTAGAATATACAATTGTAGGGATATAAACAAACGGAAATGTGTGCTTGGCTGAATTATGTTGGAAAGTAGACATTCTTCAGCGGGAACCTCCTTTATACATAGATATAAGTATGCGAAAAATCCAAGAGGGATTTCGTGGCTTTATTGTTTTATTGTGTTGCTAAACAAGTTTTCTTTTATTTTCTCTTATAAATCAAAATAATTTAAAAACAGCATACACACAACGAGTCCACATTGAGAGCTTAAAGTAGTTCTTCAAAATAACGGTTACACACTTTTCATAACAAATTTCAAAATAACCAGTGATGATAACCAATCAAGTTCAACATTCGTAGTGTAAAAATATGACCCGAGCTGAGCTCACCTGTATTGTTTTTAGTAGATCCCGTCGTAGTTGTTCTCGGTAACACGTTTTAAATATCAAAATAAAAAATGGTTGCTTACAGCCATCTTCCAAATCCAATGAAGCTAGGGTCATCGACAATTAAGACTTTTAATACCCATGCTAATAATGTTGCAGTGGGACCTTTTCAGAAGTGCTGTAGTAGCATTGAAGCTGACTAAAATCTAGACTAGATAGTCAACTGGTTATGAAATAACCATTGTGACGTCATTGATATCATTGCGGAGAACGCCGACTTTGCTATTCAAGGAACCAGCTGCATGACAATGCCACGCAAACTGACAAGAGGGAAATATGATAGCGCGTGACCATTATAACGTCATTAATGTGGGGACGGAAAATAACTGTTTCACTTGAGTGTTTGCACTGTCGATAATTCGAAGTTCAAGTTCGTAAGCAACTTTGGTATATCTAGAATATTTTCGTTTAGTTTAGATCAAATTAGTATCGGTGTAAGACAGTAACATAAATGTAATTCTTTAACTGTAAACATACTACACTGCACGAAGTCACAACGGTATACTGTGTGTTTCTGCCAGTATCTTCATCTTTAATGGCTCACTACAAAATGATATTACAATGTGAAGGCGTATAGGAGAGCCATATCGTTCTCCGCAAAGGAAACGAAACAAAAATAGAACATTTCATAAGTTATATGCATCATACATTTTTCAATTTTCTTTCAAATTGTATACAGAAACTAAAACAAGAAGTCTCTTTCGAGAATTTTCTTAAAGCATTTCTGAGCATCAAAATCTTTTCCTGTCGTGCTGGCGTTACTAGGACACAAATGCTTAGAAGTTGGCAACACAGTCAATGGTTTCAGTTGAGAAATTTATTATTTTTGTCCAAGACGCTAGAAGTTGGTGGAACATTCATACACATTGATGAGATTTTGTTCTTTTTTTAACCTGCTCGTGTCAATTAGCATCTGACGAGGGGGATACTTCTTAACTTGCCCCACAACCCAGACCAGCCATGTTGGCCATTTTTAACGCGAAATGCAAATATACAAGATTTTTACTTCTTTTTCTGTATTCATACAAGAAAGTCGATGAGTTAGTTGGATTGTAAGAAATATAAAAGAAAAAATGCCGACCCTATAGCTAATCACAGTCTTATTACACATTATGACTTACCATTACTGTACTATATTCTATACAATGCATGTGTTGTGCTAGTGATACATGCTTCAGGCATACGGCAGCAGTAAAAGACTCCGCCATGCTCATTGCATGATCGTAAGCGGTGACTGAATTTGAGATATCTTTTTTTTTCTAAATAACGTCCTCATATCTCCCTAGAGACTCCCTCTCGCATTTAGCCTTTAATTGAGCGCCGGTCCCTTTGAGGAAGGAAGGCTGTTTCTGTCCTCTGGCAGACACATACCAAAGTCTTTGAAAATGGTAGTAACTACTGCCTGCTGAGCGCCCAATAACGACTGGCTTTCCGTTGTCAGCTTATGATCGGATGGGGTGTCCTCTTATGGTCTTGGCAGTACACTAGTGTGGTAGCACTGCGAAGTCGATTTCTGTTCGAACATATCGCAATCCACCTGCTCAGTTATCACAAAGTTGCATATGGACTCAATTCGCATACATCGGGACGCCGTCTTTAAATGGTGATCGATGAATATAGTACATTAAACAATATACAAAAGGTCGATGTGGCCTGTATCAATCACCTGGTTTGGTTTGCTGGAATTGATTAATTAAAACGCTTGCTTCTATTCAGATCAGATCTGGACAAAACTGAATAATTCCAACAGAATTCCTAATATTGAACCCCGTTCTTCCCGTTCCAGGTGGCGGAGACCAACCGTTTATACCAAATTAATTCCCCTTAACCCTTAATCCTTTAGACCAATTTTGGGCAAAATCCAAACATTCAAACAGGAAGAGTAGGATTTTTAAAAATTGATCTTTTTCTCCCTTTTTGGTCCCCGCCCCTCCTGCCCCAACCCCATCCTCTGGGGGGAGGGGGTCTACCGTTTATAAAAAAATTGACTCCCCTTCAATTGAAGATGATTGACATGAACTTTGTGCAAAATTCAAACATTCATATAGAAGGAGTACAGATTGTATATAAGACTATGTGCCCGCCTTCCTCATGCCCGAGGGTTGGGGATATGGTTTAGTCTTTCTTACGCTCAGAAAATGTTAATAAGGGGAAGCAAGGAGGGCAGCTTTGAGCATGACAATTTATTTTCCTTTAAAAACCAATCCACTGGACTATACTTTGTCGGATTTTGACATTATAATTTACATACCTTTAAGATATGAACTTTATTCAACACACTTATTACAAAAGACAACGTTATCTGGATCAGTTCACTTGTCATACTAGCCTCAACACTACTATATATCCGACTGATCGATCTTTGTTTTGTCGACATGACCTAGTTACAGCTCCCACACACCCGTAAACAAAACACTCACCTGTCGTAGTTGTCCAGCAGATATGTCATTGAATAAGGTTTTCAAATCTTGTTGATGAATTTTTGCTCTATTTCCCTGCATTACGTTTTCTTCGTGATTTATGTCAATTTCCAGCTAGGTACATTCTGAAAAGCCAGCATTACGTGCATATACAGGTAGACAGGGTAAACATAATTGCTATTTATAAACTGGACTGTTTCAAATTTAGAGTGATCTCCCTTACATTGTGTTCTTTAAAGTGTCACCATTACAAACTGTCTTTTCCCCAAAATGTATTGCATTAATTTCATTTCCATTTTACTTCAAAATGTAGTAACGAACTAACTGGGTACAAATTGTAGCTACATCATGTACAATGTACCACACACGGACTAACTTTCATTCGCCGGCAGAGCTATGTTCATATAGATCTATGACTACGGGTCCTTTCAAATGACTCACAGACTGCAGTATAACTAAGCTGTTCTGATGTTTTTCGTGGGTTTTTCATTCTATTATTATTTCTTTTATTTCCCCCCGATGTAAAGAGTTATACAAAAAGAACATATATTAATTGACATTGTAGAAAACAAGTGTGCGTTTGTACACACATATACACATAAGAAGCATTTAAATTAATACAATGTAAATAATAGACACAGAGTTTACGTACGCATAATATATATATATACAACAACTCCTAAAGTTAAGAAAATAAAATCATTATTATAATCATATGATTTAAGACGTTAATATTTCATTTTGAAGTCAAAATGACCAAACAAATTTACTATCTCACTGAACAAAATGGGGAGGCCCGTCGTATGTTGTCCTGAGAAATTAGGGTAAAGCGTCTTTGCCGAATGACACAACCTCACCAGCACAGTCCGTATGATATCTTCCTGAGAAACACAAACCGCCACAGACAGGGAGTCTGATTACATAGATCAACGATCATTGCAGAATTATTTACATTCTAATAAGGAGCGGGACTGTGTGGTTTGTATTAAGGGTCGAATACAGTCACTGCAAATGAGCTAGCGGAGAATATTTCTTTGGTTCAGATGGTAGAGTAGTGGATTATGTCTCCGGAGACTCGGTTCGATTCCTGTTTCCCTTTGCTGTCATACATGTTTGTCCGCCAATCATATATTCAACGCTCAAATATCGCAACATCGACTGTCTAGAAATATGCTTTTCCATAACAAGAAAGAAACGTGCTTCTGTGTTCTGGGTAAACACACAGTTTAGGGAAACATTGTTTTTATTACCAGGTTATTACAGAATATACCGTGACAATACGATGTACTGTAAAACAGGACGCACTTCCTCAATAAAATGGTTTATTTGCAAATACATATATGTCGTCTTAAAATGGTCACACTTTAAGACAAATGCAATGAGTAAATATGTCTGCGTATTGTCCACGTTAAATTGTTAATATACATGTTCGTACAATACGGAAAGATCCTGGTATATCGAGATCCTATGGTAAATGCTAGAATTGAGCAGCAGATGTCGAAACGTGTTATGAAAAAGACAGTTTTATTTTTTTGTTTTTCTGGGTCCCCCCCCCCCCCCCCCCCCTCTATTTTACAAAGATACATAAAGGCACACATACACACTTCAATTCAAATATATCCAAATGTATCGTATAGATGCCATCACCATTTCATCATCATGACACCAATACATCATTATCATCTTCGTCGTCACGTTCTTAAATGGGATTGAACGATCATCAAACACACCAAACGTTCTGACAAAACAAAAAACAAAAAACATAATAATTCACAACGACCGTAAAATCTTCATCAACGTGCATCTCTAGAAACCCTGTGTTGTGAATTTATCAGTTATCAACATCTAGAGCCATTGAATATCGAATCAACTGCACCATAGGCTTGGAAGCACCAATGAGAAAATGATAAAGCAAAGCTAGACTCGACTGACCAGTGCTCGAACACACACAAAAAAAGTTTATTTATCTAATTAATTATTGTGAGAAGTTTTTTTTCATCTGCATTCTTGTCAATAATTCCATATATTTTTGTGAAAAATTTAGAAGAGATATGTCATGAATATTTTCAGTTATGTTGAAGTCACATACAGTTGTAAAATTATCGACAGTTGGTCAAACGACATATGTGTAGTTGAGGATATCGGCGGAAGTCAGAACCTAAGATCGAACACCCTATTAAAATCTCAAATTTTTTTCAATGTTGTTGAGATGTCGTTCCATATAATAATATTCAAACCTCTTCCACAATGGATAATATTTTAAAATTACATAAGATAAATGATGTCGTTATTTGCATTAATCAGTGCCTTTTTAATTAAGATATTTTACTGTGTCTCTTTGCAGACTCCTGTTACACTAAAAATGTCCCAAATTCATGCTAATACTCATTAATACAAATAGGGCTTATTTTGTATATAGCATCATTGCAAAATCCGGCGGAGACGCATAGGATTTAAAGTGACGAAGACAGATTTGATGGTTTGGATCACACTTGGAATGGCGTAAACTTCCCGAAATCTTCCGTCTGGTGTTAGATCTGCTTTGATTGCATCTTTAATAAAAAGCAAACCGACACCGGAAAGTGTCGCTACGAGCCACATTGTAAGAAGTAGACTCCCCCAAATCTTCATCACATTTGTTGGCTGAAATCAAAAGAGAGAAACAACCGAAATATCATTATAAACAGTGTGTTCCAGGTTAAATTTGACCACTTTTCATTCGTTGACCTACATGTACACTGTATTGTATGATTTCGTATGTTATCCTGCTGAAGTGTGAACTAAGTAATGATAAAATAGTTTGCTTTTTTTCTTCTTCAGGTTGGCATCAATAGGACAGTAGGTCTAATAACACAACCAGCAGAATCTTTATCTGGCTATCAGTAAGTCATATGTCTATCCGATTAGACAAAAGAAACGCCGACAAAAAATATCGTAACCATACTGACATTTTCTGGATACTGATACGCTATATTTTTCTAATACATAAGGGTATAATAAAATGATATTCATTCTTGGTTACACGTATTTCCAATCCCACTCGAAGAGGGTTCGTCAATGTATACCGGCATGATAATACATTATATATAGTAGATTTACATACCTCTGGTAATGGTTGTGGGATGTTTTGTACGCCATAGCTTGATCTGTGTATAAAGTCCACCCATAATCTCCAACCCTTGAACAGAACAAAGTTCGGCTGATGATCGAGGTTGAAAAGCATACAACAAAACAGAAATCTACCGTATATCAAAGCCAAGTTTCTCACTGCAGATCTGAAACATTTTATATATGTTGCGCAGTTCTGAAAACATTGAAGTGAAACGGTATGATTAACCAAGAAAATACAGATTTATATACTTTTTTTCTGGTATTGATTAATCATAAAACGTACTGCATATTGCATATTGACAAGCATGATTCGGCGCTGTATACAAATTACAGGCGAAACGAAAGAAGATGCCACAAATTGGTAAGAGTTATCGGCTCTTTTTCTAACGCCATTTCGTTATATTAACTGCTAATGTCAACTTACTTGTATAAACTTAAACTCAAAGAAATGAGTCAACACCTGTTGTACTAATTCGTCTTGCTGAAACGGTGCCGCGCGACCTGCCATATCTTCTTAGATAACAAACACGTAAAATATGTCCGAGGTCTGAACACTTAGCTGTCAAAGAGTCTCTACCTTTAACTGTCTTATTCAATGCAGAACGTTACACGTTCCATTACGTATAGTTTAAATATAGAACTTTGGAATCCCTACAATTCGCTGTATGAAATCAATTGCGCATGATAATAGTGAGACACAATGAATAATGACAAAGTATGTGACCGTGTATTCATACACATGTAAAACTTATTTAAAAGACACATTTATGAAGATATATGAAACAGTATTGAAATAATTATTCTGTTTTCGTGTTATACAACTCCTATATATCAGAATCGTTTTCATTTGCCCAAAAGTCATTGTCTAACTATAACCAATTCATCGCTTACAAACAATGGTTAAGTCATGGACAGGTGGACGCGAACTCCGCATTATGTTGTTTGTTGGGATTAAGTCGTTACCATTTGATATCTGTTCGTGCTCATATGAACAAATGAGTTCCGTATTTACCACTGATATAAAAGTCCCAATCACGGAAAACCACACACAGTTAATGAACTCAGAATCTGTACACTAAATGTCATACATTAAAAAGAAAACAGATGCCATAAAAATTGAATTCCATGCAAGAAGTTGTTTCAAATGATAATGGATTTTTTCCTGCTAAATCTACTGTTCAAGATATATATCAAACAATGTCACAATGAACCCTATTTTCTGTATAAATTTCAATTACATATACACGATTATGTTCTCCCTATTATTCCTGCACACATGCATTTATTTATTTTTACTTTAACCATCTATTCCAAATATTCATTTCACTTTTCTTTTTCACAATATTCTCATTCTGTTTCCTGGTTTCATTTCTATTCACACTACGAGGAAAACAATCTGGCAGAAAGGTCGGTAAACTGCATTCCGAAATATTAACAGAATCTTAATTTAAACACAAATTCGATGAAACTTAAGAAATATGAACAAATGATTAATTTACACTGAAATGTACAAGAGGAATAATGGTAGGTTTACCGATAGGCGACATCCACCAATTAAATTTTAGTTCATCCAAGTAAAAAATGTCACGTAAACGGAACTACCAGATATACTAACGAGGATCAAACACGTCCAGCTTTTATATCGCACAAATAAAAGGGGTATTTCATGATGAGAAAATTATATCGACCTTGAAAACACCCCATAACCGTCATCGACCAGCATCTCTCAAAATTCTGTTTATAAATGTAATCACTACATTATAAATATCTGTTTATAAAGGTCACCTCTACATAACATTTATCTGTTTTTAAAGGTCACTTTAATATAACATTTATCTGTTTATAAAGGTCACCTTAATATAACATATATCTGTTTATACAGGTCACCTCTACATAACATTTATCTGTTTATAAAGGTCACCTCTACATAACATTTATCTGTTTATAAAGGTCACCTTAATATAACATAT